TATCTAGTTTAAATTACCTACTTAGTGACAATTTTGCCTAACCTGTAGTTTTACATTTTAAAAGGATTTGTATAATAGATTTAAACCAGAAATAAAGTATTTTTCCCTCTTCTGATTTTAGGAAATACAAATGGTAAAATAAACCTGATTTAATTATATAAAGAATACCTAAAAAAGGTGTGTAAATAAATGTTAGGGACTCGACTAACCTTTGGAAATGGGAAATCTTATGCTCTTGTTCATCAATAACTAATGTATACATTTCTAGCTCCTTTCCATGAAAGTTTTATAGTGTTAGTCATAGATTCTTTTAATTGCTTTTTTAAAAAAATAGTAATTTTTAACTGTCCAGAATTGTGTGCTCAGTTTAAATGTGCAACAGGTTTGAAGCACTTACCTTGTCCCTTAGTTGGTCTTAGAACAATGATGGTCTCTAAAGGGTAGTTGATTTGTCTCTGATGAGCATCCAGCACCAACAGGTGCAGCGTAGGCTGTCTTGCCCTTGTCATAGGATTCCTTAATTTGAATAGTAATTTTTCCACTTGATGGAATAATTTTTTAGTCTTCTATACCACATTTTCATAGCTAGTTTTTAGACAAAGCATGTGTTGTTTATGTTTAATCAAAGATAAGAAAACTATTTTAATTTGTCTGTTGAAACAGTCTTCCTAGGCAGACCTAGCTGAAATCAAGCTGACCCTGAACTCCAAGCAATCCTCCTGATTCAGCCTTTCTAGTGTTGGGATTACAAACACATGCCACCACATGGCTAGAATTTTTGTAAACAGTAAAAATGTCATTTTTATATCTTTGTCACAAATCACCACTCCCTACTGCCCCAGACTTTTTCCATTTAAGAAAAAATTAGTACCTGATGTAAACCTAATCTGGTTTGTGAATCCATCCTTATGAACTTCATAGTATATATTTCATAATTTCTCTTAAGCATTGTCCAGAAGACTATTATAATTTCTTAGTGTTCTGGTTTGCTTCTTGTTATTGTGATAGAACACTGACTAAAAAGCAACTTAAGCCGGGAGTGGTGGCACACGTCTTTAATACCAGCAGGTGGATCTCTGTGAGTTCAAGGCCAGCCTGGTCCACATAGTGAGTTCCAGGGCAGCTGGGGCTACAGGGAAACCCTGTCTCAAAATGACCCCCTCCAAAAAAATAAATAAATAAAATAAAGCAACTTAAGGAGGAAAGGGCTTTCTTTATCCTGTACTTCCAAAGCACAGTCCATCTTAAAGGAAATCAGGGCAGGAACCTAGAGACCCAAAGCAGAGACCCTGGAAGAATGCTGCTTTCTAGCTTGCTTCCCCCTTGTCCTGCTCAGTTACCCTCCTTCTATAGTCCAGGCTCACCTACCCAGAGATGGCACTGTCATCAACTACCAATTAAGAAGATAGCCCACAAAATGGCCATAGGCCAGTCTAATGGAGCCAGTTCCTTAGCTGAGGTTTCCTCTTCCCAAGTGTATCTAGTTTGTGCCAAGGTGACAAAAACTAACCAGCACAATTGACTCCTTGTCATCTTGACACACAAACACATCACTGTGAAACCATAGTCTTTCTTGTTTATCCCCAAGATCTTATGTTAATATAAAATATAGCAAAACCTTAAAGGTCCCACAGTCTTTAAACATTCCAACAATTTACCTGGGTATGGTAGCTCATGCCTTCAATCTCAGCAACTGGGAGACAGAGGCAGGTGGATCACTTTGAGTTTGAGGCCAGCCTGTTCTACATAGTTCCAGATCAGCTGGGGCTACAGGGAGACCCTGTCTCAAAAAAAAAATTCCAACAATTTAAAAGTTCAGGTTTGCGGGGGCTAGAAAGATGGCTCAGCAGTTTAGAGCACTGGCTGCTCTTGTAGAAGACCTGGGTTTGAATCCCAGCACCCACATGGCAGCTAACCATCCATGACTCCAGTTCTAGGGGATCTAACCCACTTCTGTCCTCCACAGGTACTACATGACATGGGTGCACTTACACATATCCAGGCAATACACTCATACACATAAAATAAAAATTCAAGTTTGCTTTAAAAATCTGAAGTTTCTTAACTGTGGGCTTCTGTAAAATCAAACATTTTTCCAGCTTGCAGGGGG